ACGATAAATCGCATGCGTAATTTTTTGAACCAGGCTGTAAACATGTTTTTTTCTGCTGTAAAGTCATTCATTTTAACATGGGGAGTCTATGGGATTGACTCCCTTTTGCAGCCAGCCTCTAGCGGCCAGTCGATGAATTACAGTTTAAGTCACTTCCTTGTTGGCATCACGAGAGAGAGCGGGAGGTTGCCGCTTGGTTAATACACACACACACAAAGACAACACTGGCATGGTTACACAAAGGCAACAACATTATTTCAGTCTTCAATACACAATACTAACTGTGGGAAATGTGTGAAAGGTAGTGAATGAGCAAATTTAAAGTACATTTTCTAGTGCAAAACTCTACGTCACAATGCTAGGGTATTCTGGGTCAATTTCCCAGGTTTGCTGTGCTTGTTGTATGGCTGAACAATTTGCAGAAAAAAAATACTAGGGCTGGCTCGATACCACTTTTTCAGAACCGATACCGATCCAATACCAAAAATTCTGAGTATCTCCCGATACCGATATCGGTCCGATACCAGCGCAGTTTTTTTAAATCAGTGTAGAATTTCTATACCTCAATGTGTGTTGACCTGATCATCACTCTTTTGTATGTTACACACAATCTACTAAATATAGACAGCTTTATTATAAAGAAAAATAACAAACGAAAAAAAATATATAATATAGTTAGTCTAGAAAATTCATGAGTGCACAATAATTTTATAAAATCCTAAACTTTTAGTGAAAAAACAACAACATTATTTAGAGGGGATCAAATAAAAGTGAATAAGTGTAGGACTAAATCTGGTACACAATGCTCTTTGTATTGTTGTAAAATACATTCATGAAAAACAAGTAATATATTTATATATAAATATATACTATAGTAGTCAACATTTGAAGTGGATCAAAACCTTTCATCAAAGTTGTCCTAAAACCAAAACAATACCCGTTCTTGTCTTAGGACAACTTAGATGAACTTTTTGATCCACTTCAAATGTTGACTACTGTATAAATTAAATGTATAGCAGAGTAATGAGGCAGCAGCATATGATAGATAAGACGAACAAGAAAGGCTATTAATAATCTTTCATTGCTCAAAACAGGCACAGGCACAGCGCTCCATGGTTGAACCACTGATGTCACATGGAATATTTTAATGATGTTCTTACTATGTTTCTGGGTCTGGGAACATTTCAGTTCCATTGCTGTCTATGCAGGGTCTCAGATTTCATCAAAAATATATTCGTGTTCTGAAGATGAACGAAGGTCTTACGGGTTTGGAACAACATGAGGGTGAGTAATTAATGACAGAATTTTCATTTTTGGGTGAACTATCCCTTTAAGAAATTACAGGTGATTTAAAAGTTCTCATTACAAGCTTGGGAAGATGGTTGGTGCATGCTGCATTTCCAAATGTCCCAAACTCAGAACACATGCAGAGATGAGTTCATGTTAAGCAGCATTTACTATGAAACGAGACACTGAAAACACTGGATCATGAGCTGCTTGTGTGTAAATGAAAACAGTGCCATGCTTCACTCTGAAACACGCGGCACCTATATTTAATTAAATCACATTCTTTGCAATTTGATTATCACACTAAGCCATATAGCAGCTTCGCTTTTAAAATAATAATGGTGGTCATAATACACTTTTAAAGGTTTTAAGAGCTGCTCTGTTCTGGTGGGTCATGCTGACCTGAACTACAACAATAAAAAGAGCAAGTCAATTTCAAAACTCTTTTAAAGCTTTCATCTGTTTGCCAGACTTATTAGTGAGCATCTGATCTTCTAACCCATCCTCAGATTACTCGCGGTATGACCCACAGCTTTGAGGAAACTGACCTTGCCATGGCAGCACTGGCATGACATTAGAATCTAGAAAGATTTATCATGTTCTTTCATTTTGTTCCTCAAGGCTCTTTCCACATTCCCACACATCCTTGTAAACGCTAAATATTATTGATCTACTTTCCATTTTCCAGTTCTGTGGTGTGTAACCTTCTATGTGTGGGCTTGGAAATCATAACTCAGGTTAAGAAAAACAATGACAGAAACGCTATGGACCAAAAACTTAAAAAAATTAAGGAACTAAAACAGAATATCAGAAAAAGATAATGCCTGTTTATTTCAGGTTTTACACACGCTTTAACCAATGACTTTCCATAACTTCCCAGTTATTTTTTAATCATGTTATAGGGATTGCTTAAAATATTTTAGAGCTGAACATAACTTGCAAAATTCATGTTCACTCTTTCACATGCCTTTATAAGAATTCATTCATTTCTATGGCTTGTCCTGGCCTGGAAACCACAATTTTTAATTCCCTAATATGTCAAGGTTTCATGATCCCTGGTATTTGTATAGAAACACAAGTCTGTGCGTGTAAAGAAAAGCCTGACGTCATCTAGTTCAAACCGAACGACTTTCGCAAACAAATCGACGCAACCATTAACATGTACGAACTGAAGTAGAATAAATCCACATATCTGGGGACTTAAGATAACCCTGCATAATCTAAACTCATTTTAAGGTGAAAATATTATGATTTCACAACACTGTACAATAACTATGAGGTTGCTTTGTGGTTCTTGGATGTATCATAAAATGGTGCAGATGTACAAGATCACTAAAATGTCAAGTTCAGTGCCTTATGGTTAAAACAAAGTCAACTGAAGCTCTTCTGCCACAAAGCAACAGATGCTGAGAGGCAGATTCACGACCTCCTAAAATACACACTCATTAAAAAATTGTACCTCACACCTTCCTCTTTGAACACTATTAAACTGAGCATTAACAAAGCTGAAGCAACAGACCAAAAAACTAGAATGCACTATATGCAATATTTCGCTCAGTGACGCATATAAGTTGATGACACAGTGCTGATCAAATCGCTAGAACAAAACTGACATAATCAATATCACAAAACACGAGTTTAAATTACATACCAAGAACACCGAGACTAGTATGCATTTAAATGAGAGGGCCAGTCCTTCAGGATCTATGTCTGCTACCACCTGTTAACCCTGGCCAACACCCTCCAGACCCGTGGTTTCACGCTACAACCGTCCCGCTCTGCTCCACACCACACTCCCATAGAACATGAGGTGAGGGGTTAATCTGATATTGTGCTGAAGGAAACTACAAAGCGGCGAGCAGATGGCCATCTTTGAGCAAGGATTCTGCTAATACAAGAAAGCCAGTGATGGAAACAAGAGAAGCCTTTTTGACTTAGACCGCAACATTTTTGGCTTGACGTTCACATCTTTGTGCAGATAATGAAGAAGATAAAACAGTGCAAATGCACATGTGAGGTAAACTGAACCTTGACGCTCTGCTCCACACCACACTCCCATAGAACATGAGGTGAGGGGTTAATCTGATATTGTGCTGAAGGAAACTACAAAGCGGCGAGCAGATGGCCATCTTTGAGCAAGGATTCTGCTAATACAAGAAAGCCAGTGATGGAAACAAGAGAAGCTTTTTGACTTAGACCGCAACATTTTTGGCTTGACGTTCACATCTTTGTGCAGATAATGAAGAAGATAAAACAGTGCAGATGCACATGTGAGGTAAACTGAACCTTGACGTGTTCCTCCATGGGTAGATATGGAGAAACCAAATAAGGGATGGGTCAAATTTATGAGATATTATTCAATAATACGCTGCGTTTCATCATTTTGACCTGAAAAATATCTGCACTTAAGTTTACTTTGTTGGCCAAATACGGAAGAAGATAGAAAGCCTTTACAGAGTATGAAAAGTGCAATAGACAGTCAGATGAAAGTCCATCATGGTCTTTCCCACAACGTATCCTTCTGTGAGATCTGGCAAACAAATAACATTTGCTGGATGTGAGAGTGTGGGAGTATTTGAACTTCCTCATCTCATCACTTTTTTTTTCCTAATGGGGGGAGGGGTGATGCCATCAGCCACACATTAAATATGTACATGCACAGTTATAATCATGCTACAATGTGTTTTCTAAAGCTACAATTCAAGATACAACCAAGCTACAGTTTACAGCCAAGCTGTTTGCAATTTTTACAAAAAACCATGATGGTCTTTTTCCTTTGTATTACCCTGTGAACTGTCTATATACAAGTATTGGTCATTTTTTGGACAGACCACTTTCATCAGACCGGTTTAATCATGTGGTTTCTATTTTATCTCCTGTATGATTTTGGTGGTTATCAGTACATTTTAAGGTAAGCTACTTCAAGTAGGTTGGTAAATTAGCATTATATCACTTGATGAAATATATAGTTGTAAGTTGTAAAATATACAGGCATCAATATTGCCACCCAGTAAAACCCGAAACTTTGCCACCATATTGGTTATTGTGAATTTTTGGCAAAACAACCAAAAAAAAACGTACAGTGTATATCTGTTAGTCTGACTGCACAAAAACCAGACTGACTTCAGTCAGACCCAACATCATTAAATTGATCAATTGTGGTAAATAAATAGACGCAACATGTACGGATAGAATTAGAGTAAATCTTGTTCTCTGGTGACTCTTATTTAAAATTCCCCTGCATAATCATTCTAAACTCATTCCAATATGAGAATATTATGATATCACAACACTCCACAATAAATATGAGGCTGCTTTGTGTTTCTTGGCTAAAGCATGAAACAGTGCAGATGTACTAGGTCACTAAAATGCAGTTACTGATAATTCTTGCTAATTTTGACAGAGTTATTCTTAATCATAATCATATCTAGAATACACACAAATGTGAGCATTTAAGTGAAATCCACAATTATACTGCAAAACACACATAACGTTAGACATTTGGATTTTAACGGTGTTGGCAACTTTTGTTTAATCTGTGCCATTTCATTGGTTTAATTCATCAGCAACAATAGCTTCCACAGAAGTTATGTGCACTAACGTTACTGCTAACTCCGGCGTTCACAATAAATAACAGGTTAAACCTAGCACGCAACAACAAAGTATAAAACCCAAAGCAGTTTTTAAATCAAGAGTTGTTGTTATTTCCTTACCTGCATTTAAACCTGCACTTCTTTGGAACAAAACCGCGACGCTTCGCCTTCCACAGACTCGCAGTGATTTTGAATCCGATTAATCCGCAGGAGAGAGGAGACTCTCAGTCTATAAACTTCACCGGGAGCGCTGCTGCCCGCCGGTGCACACACGTGTGTTTGTCCCTCGCTGTCTGTCTCCACGCAAAAAAGGATTTCCTAAAAACTAGTAAGTGAAATGGGTGCCTTTGTATTTTTAGCCGCGCAGACTCCGGGAAGCCCGTCTCTAGTCTCTCATCCGCGGCTCTGTGTGTATTTGGTGAGGAATAACGGGAGCTGAGCGTCGGTTCGCAGTAGCGTTATTGTCCGCGAGTGCGACCCGGCGGCCGCGGATGGAAAAGGGCTGGGCTTCAGACATCGCCTAGTCCATACACAAGAGACAAAAACAGACATGCTTATTCATCTAAACGCTTTCAAAGATTCCCTATCTGCGGATTGTTCGTTAAAAACAACAAAAACAAACATTTGTTTGTTAGCATAACATCTAAACAAAAAGTTTTTGTCATAATAAGAAAAATGTAAACTGTTTATTTATTTGTTAAAAGAAAACATTCTTTTGTAACTTTTGTTTGTTAAAACAGCGTAGCTTGCATTTGTCTGTTTGTTTGTTTGTTTAGTGGTTTGTTTGTATGTCTTGGTTCTGTGTAGAGAGCTTAAAAAACAAACAAAAAAACCTTAAACCCTAAACACAGATGACCATGATCTTCTTTTGAAAGACCTTTGAAAAATTAATAATAAATAAACAAATAAACAAGGACTGTAAATAAATTCTAAATAATAAATAAATAAATCACTGTGTTTTTGTGAATATCTGTCTGTCTGTCTGTTGATATCACAACACTCCACAATAAATATGAGGCTGCTTTGTGTTTCTTGGCTAAATCATGAAACAGTGCAGATGTACTAGGTCACTAAAATGTCAACTTCAGTGCATTATGGTTAAAAGGCATCTAAAGATCTCCTGCCACAACGAAACATACAGTACACACAGCCGAAGAATGCACCATGAGGCAACAGATGCTGGGAGGCAGATTCATGACCTCCTAAAATACACGCTCATTAACAACCCTTGTAGCTCATACCTTCTTCTCTGGTCAACATTTAACCAAGCTATAGCAGGTTTTTGTGCATTTAAGCTACAGTTTTCATCCTGCTGGATACATGCTGGATGAAGCCGAGCTAGAACTGCAATATATAGGTCTGTTAGTCTGACTTAACGAAAACCAGACTGGTCCGATTTCAGTGAGAACAAAGCATTCACAATGACATTTTAAAAAGATGGATTTTTACTTTAATCCAACTGAAATCGAACATTTAAAGGGGTCATGACATGAGACATCAAATTTGCCTTGATATTTGGCATATTGGCAAAAAGCAAATATAAATTACAATTACTGCCGCTATCTTGACTACACTGGATACAGGATACATCTTGTCTATACTTCAAACAGCTCGCTCGTGTCTTTGTACAGATATCAGAAGGTCTGTCTGTCTATCTATCTATCTATCTATCTATATATCTATCTAATGTTCTTGTTTATTTCACATTCACTTAAACCATAAAGCATTGCCAATTTAGATGTTAACACAATGTGAAATGGAAGCCTCATTCAGTTTCAGCTTTATAGAGAGGGTGACAGGGTCAAAGGTCACGTTTGGGCTAACTATCAATCCAAACAAAGCATGAAATTGAGAGGAAATGCAAAATAGTGTAGGAAATTTAGTAATTTTTATCCTGATTTATCGTTTCAAACATTCTACCTTTGGCAGTATTTCTATGTGTGCGACAGACAGAGAGAGAGAGAGTATATGCTCATGGTCACACAGATGGTGGGTGTGTTGAGTAGGTGTTTGTTTGAGTCGTCTTTGTACAGATATCAGAAGGATCCCAGCATAAGGAACAAGTGGATAGTTTATTTTTAATGGCACCCCGGATCGTGTCAGAGGATTGATCGGGGTCAGATGGTGGGTGTGTTGAGTAGGTGTTTGTTTGAGTGGGTGTGTCTGTGCGGTGGGAGTTCACAGTGTGCCAAAGAAAGAACACACAAACACATTCATGAAAACACACCCAATCGCGCCACACCTCTCATCCAGCATCACTGTCATGTGACCAATCCCTCTTCACCTCACAGTGGGCATCATAAAAATACAACCAATCTCCTGTCACCCCTACGTATGCCCCATGGGCAGTCTCTTCCACACCTTCAAAGTAAACCGACATCAAGGCCTTACTCTTTTCCACAAACACATCATGTTTATTTGACCATATCAGAACGGTTTCATTGCTTTGAAAATCACAGTGTAATGGAGTATATTTTGAATATGTGTGTTGCAGTCATGGACACTTTCTGAGTACATTATAAAAGGTGACAAAGAGACCTACTCGCTCGTGTCTTTGTACAGATATCAGAAGGATCCCAGCATAAGGAACAAGTGGATAGTTTATTTTTAATGGCACCCCGGATCGTGTCAGAGGATTGATCGGGGTATGTTGTTTTGTAATCGAGGCACAGTGTCATGGAGAGTTCACAAAGAAATATTTGTTGAAAGATGAAGCTGTACTATATCTGCCTGCAACTGCATCACACACTGTAAGTAAATGATTCAATAATGCTTTGTCTGGAAATGACCATTTTATTTTGATTATGTTGTCAAAACACACAAGCAATAGCGAGGGGGCGTTGATACCATTTCCTATGCAATGACGTTAGCCAATCATAATAACAGTGGCCGATTACTGAGAAGCCTTAAAAGACACGCCCCTTAAAAACAGTCATTTTAGAGAGAGGTTCAGAATGAGGGCTAAAATAATAATTTCCCCACATATTTACTTTTATTCTATTTTTTTTTGTGTGCAAAAAAACTTTATTAACTTTATAAGTAAACCTCAAAGAACATGTTAAAATAATAATTTAAAAAAAATCCATGTCATGACCCCTTTAAAGTGCACATAAAAGCACTTTTTGACAACTAATCCAGTTAAGCACAGGGAGTTTATGTATCAGAGAATTACTGTTAAAAGTGCACTCAGTAACTTTTTGTTTACTGTCACCAACTGGCCTGGATGTATTAAGATTTACTAGCTGCTGCCGCTTTACATTGAAACACTTACTTAGTCACTGTCACTTAGAGGATTTGTAAAGTACTAGCCAAAAGCTCTGTATAAAGTAAACATATTAGTAATAGTAGTATTATGCATGGCTGGTCAGGTGAAGTCAGCAGTCAGCGGCACCTATTGAATGAATGGGTGGCCCGCACCATGTAAAATTAAACATCCTTATCTTCATAAAAATTGTTTTTAATAAGTTCCTTTCTTTATTATTATTATTATTACTTTTGTATGTTTGAGTGTGTGTAAAACATTTTAATCTACCAAAAAATGTGCACTTTAAGTGCAGCTGATCATGACAGCAAGTTTATCATGGTGATGTATCTAGCCAGTTTCATGTTTAACTTGAAACACTGAATCACAAATTTAATGTAATCCGATAGATACCAGTATAAACATTAAAAAAAAAAGAATTACACATCACACACACACACACACACACACACACACACACACACACACACACCAATATACTCTTTACAAACCTCCTTAAGATGGCATTTAATTAAGCTAAAAAACTGAACTGAGCTCAATTAAACGGTCAAAAGCACTCTGTCAAAACGCCTAAAGATAAAAAAGGATTAATTTCACCTAAGACTTGTAATGTTGCCTACAACCCGAAGAGGCCGCTGTTGTCAAAATATTCAATTTCTTCAACATTCACTATTTCTTCGTCTATATAGACTACATAGGGAAGACTTGGATAGTTGCCTCTTTTTACTCCAGTGAACATTTAGGGTAGGTACTTGAAATTAAGTAGAAAAATTAAAGTCTAAAACTTTGATTTTAGATTTGAATTTAAAATGTAAATGTTATAAACCTACATTAAGTTTACATTTTCCTCAAGTTTGGCTAGGAAAAAAGAAATGTTACATTAATGGGGAAATTTGCCACAGATGTTGACTACACCTTGTAGTTACATTACACTACATTATATCGTTATAATAATTTACGGCATATGTAAGTTATGATAATGAAACCTACAGTGTATTGTAAATACCTTTATGAAACACAAAAAAGGTAAAAACTGAAAAAGGTGACACACAGAAATATCAAACTATATATATATATATATATATATATATATATATATATATACATACATACATACATATACATATATACAAACATTCAGTAAATACATAAAATTTAAAATTTAAAATAATAGATTTAAAACACATTAGGATAAATACAATTTTCCAGCTACTACAAAATTTTTTTATTTATTTTTTTTTTTTGGTGTTTGAACATGTTGAACGTTCTCTGCCTTGAGGAACTGACTGACCTCTGACCTTCTGTGAGAGTGTCTATTTATTCCTCTGCAATCCAGTGTTTTCTTACACACCAAAGCCAAAAGAAGTGGAATCTGCAAACACTGCCTCTATTTGATGTAACACCTGTATGTGGAAAACACATGTAACTGAACCACCTCTGAATTGACCCTGAAATCCTGCCTTAAAAACCTTTCTGACCAATCCTTACTTGACAAATGCTGTCTGACAAACATTAGATCTTGTCAAATGTGTATGTTTTTATTTATTTATTTATTGTCCATACAATGAAAGTCATTTAGGTCCAATGTCTTCTTTTCTGTTTTGCAGGTTTGGAATGACATATAGGCATGTAAATGACAATATAATTTTCATTTTTTGGGTGAACTATCCATTTAATTCCCCCATTGAAATTTTTTTTTTGTACATGCAGCTCATACTAACATTTCCCAGAGCCTCATGACCCTCTGACAAATGACAATGAGTCATATTTTTCTGCAGCAATGTCAGCGTAGGCCTATGTGGGAATTATCTGGATGATTCTAAGAATCATCATGGCAAACTATGACAGCAATCAGTGTCATCTCTTCATGTCTTTTCTTCTGCTCATTTGCTCACACTTTGCTCTATGGTTATGCTGGATGTTATACATTACTCAGCCACAAATGTCACACAATCCACCCACAGTCCATGGACTAACTGTCTGATCCATAACAACGCACACAAAACTGGAAAACACTTTTTGATGTTATAAGCTCTAATCTGATTGTTGTCAGAGAGTAAAAGCATTTTTTATCAGTCTGTCTGGAAACAAAGTTGAGTTTACTGAAGTAATACAGCATGCACTGTTGAAGATAATCGTTTTTGAAGATCAAAGTTTGTGAGGTTAGTGTCATCAAATCTATATTCAGTTTTGTCTGAGACTGC